CCTAATTTCTAAAGGAAAAATAACCCAAACCTATAATCAAATATTTTATTTTTCACAAGATAAGCAATATTTTTCCAGTCAAATCCATTGCTATAAAATTTCTAGATCTGACATCTAAGGGTTGCAACTTGTAATGTTAGTGGTATTTGCCTGGGTTACTAAAAATTCAGCCCAGTTGGCTGCTGGAAAAGTAATTTTCAAATGCCATACAAAACCAGGTATTTGGTCCAGTATATTGTCCCTACAGCTTGAGAGCAAGGCCTCCAACTTATTGGTTGCCACAAATTCCTCCATTTTTGCATCGAGTGAAATAAGATGAGGAGCGTTTGGAAACACAGACATTCACAATTAAGGAACAAACGAAAATGTGACATCTTCTAAAATCTGTGAGGCTCAAAGTGAAAGTTCAGAATTAAAAAAATATTCAGACCTAGATTAAAGGGTGAAAGTTGAGGCATATTAATAATTTTGAGGAGATAGGCTGTTATTCAGAGCAGGATTTCAGTAGCTCCGCTTGAACATATATGGGTAGGCTTTTAAGCACCCTGGTCAGCAGTCCACCTCCCACCCCCACCCCGATTGTTACCCAATAAGGCACCCAATGGAGCTACTGAATGGAAATTTTGCTTCCCACGCCCCTGAGTTAAACGTCCCTTTTATTTACTAAAAAGGACACAAATAAAATAAAGATGGGTTCAGGATGACAGGTTTCATCTACAGTCACTGTGGTCATTTGCAGCTTGCCCCAAGTATGTTTATTCCAAAGCAAATCCCACTGAGTAACTTTCATGTGGCTGACTCCCAAGAAAGAGTTAATGGGTTCACAGCTTGATTACGTGCTATGAAGTTTAGACTGAATATTAAAATGTATTTGTATTCCTTATGTATATCCCAGGAATTTATTTTTTGTGTTCTCCCCCCCAAATCTCTTCTTTTGTGTGATACTCCTAAGGCCTATATAATATTCTCAAGGCCAGATAATAAAAATGTCCCGTGTTTACTACCATGTTGTTGGTTTCAACATTTATTTATTTATTAAATACAGCTGGTGGCAGCTCCAACACGGGATCTATTTTTAATTTTTGTTCCAATGGACCAAAAACATTTATATATTTTTTTTGTTCAGCTTCATAAACGTAGCAAACAGTACAGTTGTATGTGTTTACTAATCTATGCAAGGTATACTTCATGTTTGGGAAATAGCAAAGCAAGTTTAGATTGGGTAAACAATGTATTACATATGTCTCGGTCTATCTTAGAATGTTTCTCCCCTCTTCAGGGTTTCTAAATGATAGGAAAGTGTGCATATATTTGTCCTTGTTTTCCTATACATTTGCACTGAATTTTTGATTAAAGCTGGACCCACCGCAGAGAGTATTTCCTGTACAGTTGTGATGAACTAAGTGCATATTATAGGCAAATAAATGACAAGAAGTGGGTGGGGGGGATCTCTCTCTCTTCCCTTCCTGTTCTGTCCAATAACTCCCCTTCTTCGGGGTTCAGAATGTGAGTAAGCCTTAAACGACTGAAGGAAGATCAGCAGTACTGATTATGAGATTAGGGAAATTTTGCAGACAATTTAATATTTCTGTAATGAGGACGATATTGTTACAAGCTATCTTCTTACTTTTACTAAGACCTTGGAAAGGAAGAGGAGCAATCTTTGAATATAATATTATTATTATATAATGTAAGAGGCACTTGCTATATCTTTTATTCTTGTTGGTTTCTGACTTGTGCTACAGATATATCAGGTTTATCACCAGGCAGATAATTGTGCAGTAAGAAAAGAGCCTATATGAAATTTTTAAAAAGTGATCTAAATACCAAAATCTTTCAACAGAGAGTAAAAAAAAAAGAAGAGGAAAACTGGAGGTAGAAGATATTCTTTTTGTTCTGGTTGATAGTGGAGGAAAATATAAATAACTGCATACTTTACAAGTTGTTATTTTCTAATTTTTATCTGTTTGCTCAGATTCAGACAGAAAGGCAGTTTCAGGCATAGCCCAAAATACAGAGAATGTGTTGTACTTCAGATACGCCAGAGTAAACAATATCGGCATGCTCTGAGAACTTTATTTTAGCCATATCTAAACAATATCCAGTGGATGTTGAGGAAAGATCATGACGATCAGAATGCAATCACTTGTTTTAACTTGTTTCACTTTCGGTGAGAATCTAGCCCTTCGCAGTGCAGAAAAAGAACAAGCAATGCAAACAAGACGCTCCCCGTGAGGTCTGATACACACCCCACTCATTCCAGAGGGGCAGTCACTGCAAAAATTAAGTAGTCTAGCATTTTAAAATGTCATATATCCATTTTCTGCCAAGAAGCTGTAGGCTGTTATAGTGGAACGAGGACATGTTTTTACAGCGTTCTTTTAAAACAGGAACACCTACCAATTATATGCCTTATGGGTTACGGATACATACAACTTGTCAACCCCCCCCCCCCGGCAAAATGTGTCTTTGGCCTTTGCGTTATATTTCAGGCAGCAAAATGATTTAGCAAATTTAGGCCACAATCCAGCACAGTGCTGTCCAGGGGCAGACTGTGCGGCCAAAATAGCCCTGGAAAAGTGCAATGCCCCTCACTTCATGGAGGGCTACAAAACCAGCTGAAGTAGGGTTGTCAGGTTGGGCCTGGAGATCCCCTGGAATTACAATTGGACTCTTACTCTTTTCAGTTGATCTCCAGACAATGAAGATCAGTCCCCCTGGAGTAGGGATGCCAAGTCCCCCCCGGGGGGCGGGGAAACCCCCGCCCGGGAAGCCTGTTCCCCGCCACCGGCGAATTGGGCCCCCAGGGGGAACCCCACCCCCAAAGCACGTCACACGGAAGTGATGCAAGCACGTCGGGGACGTTGGGGGCGAGGCCACAATCATCCGAGGGAAAACTCTATGGTTTTCCCTCGGATGATTGTGGCCCCTCCTCCAACGTCCCTGACGTGCTTGCGTCACTTCCGTGTGACGTGCAAAGACTCCCGGAGCAAGGCTGGACTCCCCCGCTCCGGAACAGGTAAGCCCTTAGCAACCCTACCCTGGAGAAAATGGCTGCTTTGGAGCATGGACTCTCTGGCCTTATACCCTACTGAGATCCCTCCCCAGGCTCCATCCCTAAATCTCCAGGAGCTTCCCAAGACAGAGTTGGCAACAGTAAGCTGAAAAGAAAGGTTGTGCCACAGTCTCTGCCACACCACACTGGCCGGGCAAAGCTAGGCACTTCTGTATGTGCCCATCCTTCTACTCATTAGCCAAGCTGGGTAGTGCTAGGCCTTTGTACCTCCTTGCTGGGCAAGATGGGCACTATGATGTCTGTGCTGCTCCTTGCCAGTTCCAGACTAGCCTAGGGTAAAGCCAGGTGTTCTTCCTCAGGAGCTAACCTGGGTGCCGCCATGCTCTTCCATGGTAGCCAACCCAGGCCAGGCTCCATTGTATCTGCACTCCTTTTGCCAGCCAAGTTGGGTGCCGCCATGCCTGTGCTTCTTCTCTCTGGCCCTATCAGGCCCAGGCTGATGCCAGCTGCTGTCATTCCGGTGCTGCTCTTTGCAAGGTGAAGTCAGGTGCTGCCACGACTGCTCCTCACTGGCCAGTTGGGCACCCATGCACCAGTGCTGTTCTTCACCAGCCACAGCCCACACTGGCACAAGGTTAACCCAGGCCCTGCCGAGCCTGCACTCATCTTTGTTTTCCTGTTTATAGGCTACACCGTGTAAAACCAGCAATGTCGTTCACCATGGGGGACGTGGGTGAGGCATGTAAGGTTGTCAGCCTCGAGGAGGTGGCTGGAGATCTCCCAGCATCCAAGATCAGTTCCCCTGGAGAAAACGGCTGCCTTGGAAGTTGGACTCTATGGCATCATACCCTGCTGAGGTCTCCACCCTCCTGGGCTCCACTGCCCTCAATCTCCTGGAATTTCCCAATCCAGAACTGGCAACCCAGAAACCTGTTGCAATGTGCGCACCGACACTAGAAAAAGGGGCTGAAAATCACTTCACGTAGCATGTGTGGCTGTGGCTGGAGACGATCCAAAGCTGTTTAGAAGGTGTGGTGATGTGGTGGAGCTTGACCCAAGGGTGCGTTGGATTAACAATTTTTGAGGATGTTGTATAATGCAAGGGAAACCCCATTACCTGGGTCCACGGCTGTAAGAAAACAACTGCCATGTGACCATGCAGCTGTTCTTTAGTGGGCGATTAGATGCCTCTGTGCCATGACAGGGATATGCGGCAGGGGGAAAAAACCTCCATGCGCACTGTCCTAACGAAAGTGCCTCCATTTCGTAACCATAGGATAGGACTTAAGCTAGTTTAACTATCTGACCAAAGGACAGAATAGGGTAGCGTAAATCTGTGCAAATATACCCTCGATCAACAAAGGTTGACATAAGCACAGCCATGTTGTATATAGCACAGTCTTCATGTTAGGCTGCACAAATGGATTACATTAGTTATGTAGTGGTTGGAGAAACATGGCCTTGGCATCAGTGCAAACAGGGCCAGCCATTGCATAATGTCCCACAGTTCACCATGGTGAACAAAGCTAATAGTCATAGAATGGCGGCCCCAAACACGGATTGACGAGGCAAAGCCGGTGAGGGAGAGGAGAAACACGACCGTTAAAACCGTTACATTTCAAAACCCTTCAGCCTCTGCCTAAAGCCCCGCCCCCTCCCTCGGTGACCGATGAGCCAGCGGGCCTATCGCGAGGCGCACAGCCTGCCCCCTCCAATCAGCGGCAACGCGGGCTCGGCTCCCCCCGCCCCCTTTTCATCCTTGTAACTGACAGCGCTTCCCGCCAATTCTAACGGCCGCCGGGAGCGCGGCAGCCTCGCCCGGGCGCGAGAGGCCCGGCCAATACCTTCGGGTGGGTGTCCTGAGTGATGGGGCCCGCCGACCAATGGCGTCCGAGGGGGGCGGGGCCAGGCGCTACGGGTTTCCTCTCCGGCTCGGTCTGGGCTGCCCCCCCCCCGCGGGTTCTTCGCTGCGAAGAAAATGGCGGCGGCGCCGAGCGGAGACGAGGAGAGATTGTGAGTGACCTGAGGAGAGAGTTGGCGAGCCGGGCGGAAGGGGCGGGTGGGGAAAGGGGAGAGCCGGGCCGGACCATCGCGGGAGCCCCTGCGCGGGAGCCCCTGAGAGGGACCATCTCCAGAGGCGGGATGCGCGGCGGGGGCCGCGGGCGCCTTTCCCGCTCGCGGGCTTCTCCTCCCCTTCGCGTTCCGGGGAGGGGGGAGTGTGGCGCGGGGTGTGCCCCGAGGGGGGGCTGGTTGGGGGTCAGAGGTGACCACGGGCCAGGGGCTTCCCTGATGACGTCGCCTCCCTGGGGCTCCCCGCCCCCCCTTTCCTGGCCCTCACCTGGGGGGTGCCCATCAATGCCAACAGTCTCCCCAGGTCGCCCTCTGCCCATGCCCACCTTAAAAACCCACCCCGTGCCCTCCATCGCACATGTATCTCTCTATATATCCATGTCCTCCTCCTCCTCTCCAGTGTTGTGATCCAAACTGAACTTGAGGTCTTGAAATGCAACCCGTCCTTTGGGTGATGCCACCCCCCCAAAGGCCTTTTTTTTGGGGGGGGGGTGACTGTGACCCTCCCTTACGCTGACTGCTCGGTTCCGGCTGGTGGTTTGGCACCTTTGTCAACACAGAGCTGCGCCTGGCGTCTCCGTCCCTTGCCTCCCCCCCTTTTAGAAATACCCGGGGGGGGGGGTCGTTCCCCTGATGGGTGGTCTGAGCGGTGAAAACAATGTCGATGTCGCTCCAGCACATGTTAGGCCACCCCCGCCGATGCTAACTTTCCGGCTTGGTTGGGTGTCATTATTGATGATTCGGTGATGTTCTCTTTGCTGAGTTATCGGTTGTAATCGAAACGTTTAGGATACGGGCTTATGCCCAGCTGTAATAACGTCTGCTCTTTTTTTTTGGCCTTGCTGTGTGGTTTATCTCTTCCTGTAATGTTTTCAGTGTTAGATAGTACACAAAACTTGGTATCTTACCTGAATTCTGTTGCGTTTTGGTTTAACGGATGTCTCCCGTGTGTACCCAGGTAAGGAGAGCTTAAACGTACTTCCAAATTGTTCGAGCGTCTAATGGGTGGATGTCCACATTGGTACATATCTGGGCATTTTCTGCCTTCCTCCTAAAATCAGAGTTCAGTTTGCTGGGTTCAGGTCGGGTTTCTTGCTCCTTCAGGTATTCCTTTGCCCGTCTTAAGCTGTGCACTTAGTTGAGCTGTTTCACTGGTAATGTCATGGTGTTTGTCACTCTCATAGGTGGTATTCCCAAGCTTTTGTTTATGAAACCTTGGAAGTACTCCAGTGCGTTATCTGCCACATGCTGTAGGCTTGTAATGAACTTTTAAATTGCCTTACATTACTCCGGAGTCCTTACGTTACCTTCCTAGCCGTATGGATTTTTTGTTGTTTCCTTGTGTTGAAAGTGTTGTCTCACCTACTCTTTCATCTGTGTACCTAGAGTGCTGCGAATATATGTTCTGGAGTCTTAAGTTTATTACGCCTGGAACACACACTATAACTTGTAGCATGGTGTTTGAGTCAGATTCTTAAGGATCTCAACTTTCCTTTGAGGATAAGCTTCTAGGCAGAAACTTTAAAAGGTGAAAACACTGGGAAACTCTGGAGCCCATATTTTGGACTGTGGTGCTTTTTGATGCCGTAATTTCAGTTTAGTGTAGAACCTCTATGTGGGTAGTAACTAATTTCTTGAAGTGGGTGAAATTTCCTAACTTCTTGGAGTGGGCTTGGTTTTACACAGGCTAGGGCTGTTGCTGCCAAGGAAGTATCCTTGTTGTTCTCCTGTGGGGTGTAGCTTCTCCTTAAGCAAAGCACCTGGGTGGCAATGGTGGATTAAGAGCATGAAATTCTTTCATTTTGACTGTATCTGCAGATGCCCTCCAATGTCACGGGAACCTTTATGCAGTACATAAAATAAAAACCTGTGGCATGCTCCTGAAAATGCCTCTGTTATAAAGTGTCTTGTGGAAATTAAATGGATGTATAAGAGCTATAGGAAAGATCCCATTTGTCACTGTTTGCTCTTTCCCCCCTCACCGACTTCCAAAAAGATCTCAGTCTCTGTTTTTCCATGCTGACTGCTAGCCTTCCTTATCTTCCTTTCCTGTTTTACCAGTTTGTATTGTTGAAAGACATCAGCAGTGTAACCCCCCCCCCCCCCCAAAAAAAAAGAAGTAAGTAAGCTTTGGCGTTCCACAGAACTCTTAAGTGTGCTGGACATAAGGGATAAATATGTACATCCGGCCTGATAAAGTTCTAGGGAACGTGAAAGCTTCCTTGGAACAGTTTGGTTCCTGGGATCGTTACTTACAGTTTTGTCTGTCTTGCCTTATGTTGTAGTCAGCATCACCCAGATTTGGATACGTTGCAAATCGTTGCCACTTTGATTAAGATTTGGGTTGCTTTATTAAGTAACCTTTGCGTGATCTGTGGTCTTCATTATGCAACGAACAGTCAGAATCTGTCATTTCTAATTAAGAGGGTTTCCCCCCCTCTGATTAAAGTTTGGTCTGTCTCAGTGATAACCCCTTGTGTGGATCTCCATTACAACTATTTCCTCCATGCTTCAGAGCTATTAAGATTAGGTCCTCTTTCACTTTGTGTCTGACCTCTCATCGCTACCTTAAAACCCATCAAGGGCTGAGAGGCGTGCTTCTTTCACTTGCATTTCCTGTTGCTTCCAGCCGTGCTTACACCATTCATAAGAAATGCCTTGCCTGAGGCAGGCTTGACTGAACTGCCTGTGCAGCATATATATAATCCCCAGCAGGTGCCACAAGGTGAGGCCAGACCAAGGAGTCAACGGAGGCCATGTCTTTCTATTCATTCCCTGATCACATTGGATCTGCCTAGAGAGCACTTGCGCACCAGTGGTCACCACTGAAGTAAGAAAAAGTGTGTAAAGTGCGATCAGCTGGCAGTGGACTTATGGCATCCCCTCAGGAGGTCTTCAAGACGAGATGTTCAGAGGTGGTTTGCTGTTTCCTACCTCTGCATAGCAACCCTGGACTTGCTTGGTGGACTCCCATCCAAGTACTAACCAGGACCAACTCTGTTTACCTTCCAAGATCTGGTGAGACTGTTAGTCTGGGCCATCCAGGTCAGGGCAAGAGAGGAACAGAGGTGGTTTGCCATTGCCTGCCTCTGTGTAGCAACCCTGGACTTGGTGGTGGTCTGCCATCCAAGTACAAATGAGAGCCGACCCTTCTTAGCTTCTGAGATCAGGCTAGCCTGGGCCATTCAGATCAGGGCTGAGGAAAAGTACTAGGGGTGTGCATTCGGCAAAGTCAAATGGAATAAATACCCGAAAAATACCTTATCGGTATTTTTCGGTTATGTATTCAGCCGAATCAGATTCTCTAATCTGATTCGGCTACCTGATAAGGTGCTCCCGAATAAAAGCCAATTATTCAGCTTTTATTCAGTCCCTTCCCCAAATCAGGGAGGGAAGGGGAAACAGATCAGGGAGGCTTCTTTAAATACCTACCTGATCTGTCTTTGCTTGCCCAACTGTCCTGCCAGGGCAGCCGGCTGGTGAAGAAAAGGGGAGGCATCTTTAAAAGCCCGATTTGTCTTTGCTTCTCCCAGTCGGCCTCCCACCACGGGCGGGCTGGGAAAGCAAAGGGGAGGGAGAGCGGGTCAGTTTTACCCACCTCCGCTTGAAAACGGAGGTGCGTGAAACTGACTAGCTCTATCTCCATTCCTTTCCCCATCCAGCCTGCTGGGCAGGATGGCGAGGAAGGGAAGGCAGCAGGGCCATGGTTGGGGGAGGAAAAAAAGGAGTCACTTAAAGATGCCTCCCCCATCTTGCTTTGCTTCCCCAGCCAGCCTGCCAAGGTAGGCTGGCTGGGGGGAAAAAAATCGGGAGGCATCTTTAAGAACATACCCTTTACTTCCCCAGCCAGCCTGCCAAGGTGCACTGGTTGGGGGAGTGAAAAAAGACCGGGGGGGGGGAGCATTTTTAATTGACTCCCTTTTATTTCCCCAGCCAGTGTGCCTTGGCGGGCTGGCTGAGGAAGTGAAGAGAGAAGTGGTTTAAACTTTAAAGCTCTTCTCTCTGGAGTCTTGCCACAGTGGCGGCACGATCGTTCCATTGTATCCTATCCTTTGATTCCCCAGCCAGTGCCCCTTGGCAGGCCAGCTGGGGAAGCAAAGAAAGATTGGGGAGGCATCTTTAAATGCATTCTCTATACTTCCCCAGCCAGTGCATCTTGACAGGCTAGTTGAGGAAGCAAAGGGAAGGCATTTAAAGTTTCCTCCCCAATGTCTCTTCGCTTGTCCAGCAGGCGTGGGCTGGAGAAGCGAATGGGTGGGAGAGCAGGTCAATTTCACTCCCCCTCTACTTGGAGGGATTCTGGGATTCGGGAGTATCGGCATTTACTGATATTTTCCGGGTTTGGTTTACTCGAACCGAAAAATACTGATCCCCCCCCCCCCGTGCACACCCCTAAAAGATACCAGAGGTTGATACCCAGCTGAAAACAGCATACTCACACTGGTCCTGTGCTCTCCTAGCTTAACGCCATACACATTTTCGATTCCCTGGGTTTACACTCTGTTGTAGTTTGAAGAGCCTCATATCACAATGAAGTGTTGGTTAGGCTGAGTTATTAAATGACTTCAATTTCCGCTGCCTGAATGGACCCTAAAACATGTAACTGCGGCCTGTATTTTTTAATTAATATTATATCCCTGGATAAATTAACCAGGAACCTATAGCTGAGAGGCATGGGGATTTTTGCCTGAATCATGCAGGTAATAGCATGAAATGCTATCACGACGACAGTAGGAAGCCAAAAATGTAGGTCCAGACTTGCGTACCTATAGCCACTAATCAAATAAATGCTTTGTTTATAGCTGTAGTCTGGATTCTTGAGGATATCTGGATGTAACTTCATTCCAACAATAATTCATGTGTTGCTTGAGTAGCAACCACGGTTGTGCCTATAACCAAGAAAAGCTGGCTGTGTGAATGTGTTAGCTGTGCTCTGAGGTCTT